CCCCCCCAGCAGACCAGGGAGACGGGGGTGGCGGGACCGCCCAAGTCCTCCACGGCTTTGCTCCGTCTCCCTGGTCTGCTGACCTGGGAGACGCGGAGCAAAGCCGCAGAGCACACGGGCAGCGGGAGAGCCCAAGCGCGCCTGGGCTGTCCTGCTGCGGGCGTGCTCCAAGGCTTTGCTCCCCGTCTCCCTGCAGACCAGGGAGACGGGGAGCAGCTTTTCTCACCCCGGAGGACGGGGGCGGCGGACCGTGGCGCATCTGGGCGTCCCGCCTCTCCCGTCCTCCGGGGCGAGAAAAGCCCCGTTTGTAACTGCGGATCCGACATAACTCAGGGACTGCCTGTAGTTTTCACCATATCCATTTTAGGTAACTGACAAAAAACTTCCCTTTCTGCTGTTGCTAACTTTTCCATGGATCATTTTGTCTCCCTGGTTTTATTTTAATTTCTGGCCATTTGTTGGGAGATTCTGTTTACTATCCATGTGTGGTCACAGCAGTGATCATTTCAGCAGTTTCGTTCAACTTATTACCTCAGAAACAGAAAATTATCACTTTTTAAAATTCTGATAATTTAGTAGAGTGCATCTGTAAAGTTATTAATGTTCGCAAGGAATAAAATTGCCTTGTATGTTATGCTTCAGGGCCCGAGGATCACTCCACTGCCAGTAAAGTCAGTGAAACGGTGCTGAAGTCTGTAGCATCTTCCAGGAATGAAGCTCATTACTTAAAATCACTCAATAATAATTGGTGAGCTTCCAGGGGTTTGGTTTAGATAATCATCCAGATGTGAAGCTGCTTATCCGCAGTATCCATGTTTTGGAGGGGGAAGGGTGACACATTTTTGCATCCCCTCCTTTGGCTTTTTCCCAATTACCTGGAGAGAGCCTCAGCTTTTTGCTAAGAATTGTGTGTTCGGAAGGCAACCAGCCAGGTCAGCTCATTCTCTAGCCTCTAAAAGAGGTGTCCAGGTATATTTTTCTCTCTCCTAATTCAGTCCTGGGGCGGCATGGCAGGTCACCTTTTTTTAAAGGTGGTCAGTAGATTCCCTTCCTCTCGATATCTCACGAGGCCATTTTTCTGCTATTTCAGCACATATGGTTCTCATCATTGCTGGAGAAGGGAAATACCAGAATTTCATATCAGAACTTCACCAAAAGTTTTTGGTTTAAGTTTGGATCTAAAATTGGTTGAATCAGACAAATCGTTAATTTGCGCAAACCCTATTTTCAGTTTAATTACTAGTGTATTTGTGTATTGGTAGAAGCTTTAGTTCTTTCAAATGTTCCAGCTTCTCCTTCTAGTATCTTAATTTGAAAACATTAACTTTTTTAGGGCAATTTACTGTTCTTTTGGTAAGAAATAACAATACATCATTTTATCACTAAATGGATGTAAGACCTTTTAAAACTAAACAGCTCAACAATCATTGGATGATGCATTTTAATTTTCTCAGCTAATTAAAGATGTGGCTTTTTTTTAGATTAAGCAGTGGATACGTGCCACATTTTTTAATTTAAAGCATTTATATTTAAATGAAGGGAAACAGAGTGTTTTTTTATAAGAGTAATTGCATACAAAAAGTTTGAGGTTTTGCACTTAAATGTTGTGCAACTTGTTTATGAGAAAACATTGAATAAAACAGTGATATTTATGTTTAAGAAACTATGTATTTGGTCAGTACCAATTCCCATCAACAGTGAAGAAAGCTGAAAAGTATAAACTCATAAATTTATTTACATTTTTGGATAGTCTGCCTAATGTCTAACATCAAATTATAAACCAACTTTTCTTGTCACCTAATAACTGCTTTAGTTGATTCTTTCTTGGTGTCTCTTAATCCCAAGGTGGTAAAGTGATTTAGCAAAAACTGCATCTGTTTTCTCTTGTTACCTGATAACTTCTTAATGAGTACTAACAGCTTATGTGAGAGCAAGGCCATTAGCACTAATGGATAAGGAGGACAGCTGATATGGCATGGGAAAGGTTAAAGATTACCAGGCAAGTTTTTGCAAAGATACACATAGCACAAGGGAATAAGTACCGTAATGGTTTTGCACTGATATTTATGTACTAATGGACTCGGCCAAATCTTTGTACACCTATTATTTTTCAGATGTCTTGCAGTCACAGTCTGGCATAACATATGACAGTAGTTGAATTGGTTAGATAAGCATACTACATTTGTTTAATGGATAGACTTAAATAGTGTTCTTGTCACTATACAATCTAACTAGGTATGATATTGCAGTTCCTTTCGGGCTCCTTCTAACCTGTTCTTGGCCGCATAATCTTTCTGTGTATTTTACTGAGCCTGTAATGCTTACATTTTCCGGCTGCATAAAATACCAGTGCATTAGAGTATGCTCTTAATTACAAATGTATGTCATATCAGGTTTTTTTTCTGAAGGCCTGTGTGTTGTAATACAGTATTGTGGTATTAACTTTTCGGTCTTTGCCTGCAGAAGCCATTTATTTGTTTTGTTGCATATTACTTTTCAACTTCTGCATGAAACACTAGCTATTAAAGTTTGTTTTTTTTCCTTACTCATTGATATGAGTATGAAAAAAGAGATGACAAGAAGCAAATAGCAGGATATATTAGTAAAGACTTGAAAACCAAAAGACATTCCTTTGATAAAGGCATGGCTCAGTTTTAAGTGGTAGCATCTCCATTAGCATTAATGGGGTAAGTACATCAACGGAGGCATCTCAGAGGTTAATCAGGCTTCCTGGCTAGAAATTGCTATCAATACAGTGTGGCGCCTAATTCTGTTGGTCCTTCAGAGGCTTTCCTGACAACACACTAACAGACTTTTTGTGTAAGTCGTTTCCTATGAATTATTAAAACAAACGTTTGGCTGCTAATTGATGAACACTAATGTGTTTTCTAATCACTGCAGTTTGAGTTTTTAGCACTAAACAAAGCAGTTACAATTGATTTGTGGCTTTTTCTTGGTTTCAGTTTGCGATCTGTATCTTTTTTTTTCCTTTTCAATTTAGCAGGCAGCTTTGCTTGTCATTTTAGTTAAGAATTTGTTTGTTATAATGTCATTCTGTTCTGAACTCCAATTGTATTTATTTATCAAAGGCAGTCCTGGTCCAAGGAAAATCATTTCAGAGTTGTAGCTCTTTCTGTCTCGTCTCTCCCAAACTGTCCTGTTCCTCCCCCGCCCGCAGGAGAAAAGGTCTGGAAAGTAAACACACAGTGCAAGGCATATACTTTCAAAACAAGGCCTGGGAAACACGAACAGTACCTATTACTGGTAGTGGGATTTGTTTAATCTCTTGGAAATTCTACTTCCTCCCACTGTGAAGATGTTCCCTTTAATGTTACTGGTTTGGGGTCTCTCATTCAAACAACATTAGAGCTCCACAAAGAGAAGTCTTGGGAAATATCCCTGTTATATCCATGAGCAGCCACCATATTTCGTGTCTTACTCATCTGGGTAGGATGCCTTAAGTATGTGTATTGATGTAGGTGTAAGTCCAGCATGATTTGGTCCAAAGTCAGTATTTCTCTATGTAGTGGGAATGGGTGGCAGGATGGATCACTCAATGATTACCTCTTCAATTGAGCCCCTTTGAGGAAGCTGGTATTGGCCACTGTCGGAAGACAGAATCCCGGGGCTAGGTGGACCTTAGGTCTGGCACAGTATGGCTGTTGTTATGCAGTGAACGTGTAATGTGTTTTATTCCTCTCGCTGCAGGTACAATACACATTTGATCCCTCTTATCATCTCTGAGGTGACATATCAATCAGTGAACTGAAGGACAAGTCTTGTCTGGTTTCTGTAGTTCATGATATGGAGGAGCAAAGTCATGTGGGCCATAGGAAAGTGATCTTTGTACTCACACTGCACTTCTGTCAATGGCTTCTGTGCACCTGTCCCCATTTAGTGTAATATCAATGTCCTGGAATGTTTTCAACTGTGAAGACTTTTGCACAGAACCCACAGGAACAAATAAATACATAAAATGTCAGTTTAAAAAAGCCCCTGGCTAAAATATGTGAACTTACATTGTCATTTCCAAAGCAAACAAGTTCACCAGATAGAACTCTACTGGCAGGTTGCAAAACCTTTTAAATAGCCTATTATTACATGTAGAATCTCACACAATTTGTATGTCAGTTATAAAACTCCTATTTAATTTTGTTTTGTGAGTTTTTGATCTGTGGTGATGAGCAGTCTAGTCACGGCATTCTTTGTGCTGTGAGAGAATTTTCAGCGTACATCTGAAAAACAGCCCTTAAAACTCTATTTATTGGTTCTCTCTCTTTTTTTATAGACGATAAAGACTGGACTTACAATGGTTGGGAAAGTGGTCACACAGCTGACAGGGACACTTCCTTCAGGAGCAACTGAAGAAGAGATTGTAGCTCATAGCAATACTCGTCGAAGTCCTCTGGTGCCTGGGATCATCACTGTAATCGATACCGAGACAGTTGGAGAAGGGCAGGTAATACAGCTTGCAAAAAAAAAAATTTTTTTTTAAAGGGAATATTAGAAGTGCCTAAAGCCTCACAAGGCTTTAGAATTAAAAAATGCATTATGTGTTTTTACGTTTCCATATAAAAAAATGTAACCCTGATCATTTTTATCAGGTCCAGCAAATGTACAGATGTGCATTGTTATGGCATAGAAAGTGCTATTTGGGACTGAATTTAAGCCAGCCTGTATATAGCCTGTAATGCGCATTTACATGACATTTTGACAACATCAAGTGTGAAGTGTCACTTTCTGTCCTCCTAACACTTGCTCAAAATTGACATTGATTTATGCGGACTAGTTGTATTTGGGTATGATCTCATTATATTTCTTAATACATAATGTGGCAGGACATTTTGACTGTTCTCTAGAAATATGGGTGAATTGTTTGTTGTGGTGTGAAATAGTAATAATTGTGAGGCCGTGATTAGCTAAGCAAATGGATAACTTGGGGACAAAGTCTGAAATGACTCAATTTTTCAAAGCAAAAGTTGAAGTGAATCCTAGCCTGCTGTTCAGTATTGGTTTTCTGACGATGTAGTTAATTTCCAGAATGCAGTTGTACCATGTAAGGTTATCTGTTGAAAACCCCATCTGTGAATTATTAAAGCTGGAAACTAATGTTCTGATTAAGTTTATTTATAAAGTAAAGTTGTCATAGGTTTCTTATTGATTGACTTTAATTAATCATTTCTTTTATAAGGACCTGATCCTGGAGTCTCTACTCATGCAAGACTCTTAACCGATTTAATTATTTATGACTGTTCTACAAATTGAGTTTTACCATAATGTATTTGTTGACATTTGCTGAATTAAAATACAGAAACAACCACCCCAACTCTCATTCCTTCCTGTTTTCTCCAACCCCCATTAGTGTTTAGGATGCACCAAGAACAGCTTTTAAATTATGGTAAGATTTTTTTTTTAAGGAGTCATGTCATGTGTATTTCCCAACAGATGGCAAAATAAAGTATTTTCCTCTCCAGGTTTATGAATATACTGTCTAATATTTCAGTATTTCCAAAAATTCATATAAAGCTAAGCAAATCCATACAGTGTGGTCAGTAATTTGAAATTGAAGTTCCCTCTCTCTCAAAACCAAAATAAACCAAAATTGGGAAAAAAAACCAACCCCCCCCAAAAAAACAACACATTTTATTTGATTTTACAAGATTCTGTTAGTAAAATAAGAATGCAGGACTTTTGGGGTTCTTTTTTGTTTCCTGGAAAAATTTCTGTTGCCTTTTCTTAGAATGCCAGAAAAAAAGAGAAATTCAACTTCATAAATTTCTCATGAAGCCTTGTTTAATGCAGTCATTATTTCTGATGTTCTTGTCTGTGTATTGACTATTCTGCATAGGCTTAGAAATAAAATGATTTATCTTAGGTTTTTAAGTCATCTTGTTGATTTAGAGGTTTTTATGAACTTGTCCTCTGACCTTACCAGTAGTAGGGAGTAATCAAACCTAAAGGCACTGTGGAAAAGTAGTTGTAAAAATGGTAACAGTTACCTTGCTCAAGTAATACAGCAATATCATAAATATACTATTATTGGTAGTAAAACCATTTTTTTTGTCTTAAACCTCTGAAGTAACATGCTTTGAGGAAGACTCTATTCTTAGATTACTTGAATCCAGAAATAACTGTCTGGTGTTTGTATTTTTGTGATCTGGGATATGAAAGCCCTGCGGGGGTTCCTAATTTATTTTCAGTGTGAAGGCTGGGTATCAGAATTTTCTGCATGGGATTTTCTAATAAGGGGAAAATAACCTTTCTTTTATGGTGCTGGGGTTTTTTGTTTATTTTTAGGGGGGGCACAAAAGGTCTTTTTATAACTTAAGGGAAGAGTCCAGGTCTGTCAGTAAAGAAACTTGATAAATATAAACCTGGGTGATATTTTTAATTTTGTTGTACAACGCTGTCTTTGTAGGGTACTTTCCAGTATAAGGTATATGATTCACAACTGTCCCTTTTGGGTCATAGCTGGATGCCTCCAGCTCGTCTGTTTTTCCCCTCAGTGAGTTGAACCAGCATAGATAGATCCTGGATTGAACAAGGCAGATTCAAAGTCCAGGGGCTGCATGAATTGCCTAGTTCTAAGGCAGCAGAATGTGAATAAGAGTCAGTTGTAGGAGACTGGGAGTGTTCCTGTTCTCTCATGCTGATGGGACCAGATATGTCTGCAGGAGGTGACGGGTAACTGCTTAGGTCAGGTCTACATTGTGGGGGGAAGGTCAATGTAAGATATGCAACTCCCGGTATATAAATAATATAAATGGAGTTGACATATCTTAAGCTGAGCTTGGCACTGTCTCCACAGTGGGAGGTCAATGGGAGAAATGCTTGACTGCTTTCCTCTAGACAGTGGGCCCTCAGTGTTTGATTTAGCGGGTCTTTACTAGACCCACTAAATCAAACCCTAGTAGATCAATCGTCAGTGCGTCAATCCTCCGGTAAGTGGAGACGTGACCATAGATGATAGAGGATTCATTTGCACAAGCTCAACAGACGTGAATAGTAATCACCTTGCTCAATTCTTGCTATATGACTCTTTGAGGTAGGTTGATCTTTGCTCATTATATTGAGTATCTGGCAGGAATTGGCCTTGTCATGGCAAATTGGCTTGTCTATAGTGTGTTTTACCCCACCTCAAACCTGCCCCAATCCCCAAACCTCTGCTGGGTTCACCCAGGTGGGATGGAGAGTGGTTGAGCTGGACAGTTAAGGTGGGTTACTCACTGGGTGTAAAATTAGCCCCATGCTCAGATGGAATAATTTTGTTCTACAGTTCCAGATCAAATCCCAAGGCCCAGCTCCTAGAAGTGACTTAAATGAGCAGGAATAGGACTCAGTATCCAGATCTAGACTCAGATGGAGAAATGAATGACAAAATAGGTATGAGGCATCACTGGGTCGAATCCCTGACTCCTCCCAGGTTGAAAGGGAAGGATGAGGATTTAGTTTGGGCTATTACATCTCTGTTGAATTGGAATGGATTTGCTCAATGGCAGCCTTGGTCTTCCTTAGTCAAATGGGAAACCACTGGGAGTTCATGATTCCAGATAAGTTTGTATTTTGGATTGAGCTAACCATTTCCAGACACTGTAGCAAAGCCGTATCCCTGACTCCTCCCAGGTTGAAAGGGAAGGATGAGGATTTAGTTTGGGCTATTACATCTCTGTTGAATTGGAATGGATTTGCTCAATGGCAGCCTTGGTCTTCCTTAGTCAAATGGGAAACCACTGGGAGTTCATGATTCCAGATAAGTTTGTATTTTGGATTGAGCTAACCATTTCCAGACACTGTAGCAAAGCCGTTTCAT